TTTAAAAGTTATGGCCAAAGTTAAAGTGGGTCAAACTCTAAGGTCAAGGTCAAATTCGGTGGTACCCAAAGAAAGGTCTTGTCACAAGAAAATACACCTGTGAAATATGAAAGTCATAGCTCCACTAAATCAAAAGTTATGGGCAAGATAAAGGTTTTTGTGACGGATGGACAGCTAGACAGACTGAAGGACAGACGGACAGTCGAATGAGATTTAATGTTCCCTCGCTTTCGCAAAAGTGGGGATAATAATTATATAGTTTGATGAGATCAATATATTATAAATATTTCCTTAGCTCAGGTGAGCATTTTCACCGATAGGTCTCTTAATGACCCTGGTCATTATTCTATGGGGGTCATTATTCGTCTTTACACCGGCTTACTAACATAGTTTGAGACCACCTGCATAGTTTGAGACCACCTGTTCCGTTTCCCAAAATTTCCCGATCTCTGTGTACACCACTCTGCCTCAGACTCCACCTTTAAATTACCAGTCTCAGTGGTAAAATATCGTTTTTCATTGGTTGCATGAGTTCTGGTAGTCAATCACCTGTTAGGATGTTTTCACCCTAAATTCAACAATGCCTTTGTAGTTGCTCCTCTTAAAAAGTACAAATTGTTCCACTGGCTCAATCCGTGGTAATGTGAAGATCGTCTTTTCTGCCAAAAACTTTCTAATCACAGGATTCGATCTACCTGAAGATCGACTTCCGACACCAATATCATGATAGGATGTCTCCCAATTGCTATCTCAATATTACTTTACTTTTGAACTTAAATTCATCATCTGCCATATAAGCTTCCATTCTAGACTCATGAATTCCAAATGCTTAGTTTGTTTTCCACTTTGTCCAAAAAAGTGGACAGCATCTTAAAAGAAGTAAACTCTTAGTATCTTCATACTATTTATCATCACATTAATAAACATTCCAGCTTCGTTTGAGCAGGAGTCAAGCTTGCCAGTTACACGTCCATTTGAACCATTTTCTCTATTCTTCATTTTAGCATTGCTTTCCCCTTAAGTCCTGCTAACAGAAATGTCTAGTTTTTTTCCGGACATTTTCACTAAAATAACTTTTAAAATCACAAAATATTCTATCATATCTACTTTTACTTTGTAGTGGTGGCTCTTTGGAAGATTTTTTTCTCCAATTGTCCTGTGGCTTGTATGAGTTCTTGAATTTCCTTGTTTATGACAGCTATATTCTTTTCCAATGTTGACATCCTTACTGATCACCACAAAATGGAGTCAACTATTTTAATAGGTTCACAATTTATTGTGTTGATATATATTATGGATCATCTCTGTGCTTAAATGCACCAACGATTTTTACAAACTTCTTATGAAGTTTATAAATGTACCTTCTATCCATGGACAATTCACAATTTATTGTGTTGATATATATTATGGATCATCTCTGTGCTTAAATGCACCAACGATTTTTACAAACTTCTTATGAAGTTTATAAATGTACCTTCTATCCATGGACAATTTCGCAAAGTTAGGCATGAAATTTGTCAAGCTTAAAACAAGTGGAGTTATGAATCTGAGTAGTTTACTTTCATACATAGTACTGGTCAAACGACCGTCTTCTCAGTTTTCATTTTGATAGTGGTGCAGTGGTAAGAGCTTCTGTTCTAGAGTCTCGATGTGTTGAGTTGATCCTTGCTTCGGGGGCTCGGACTCCACTTTTGGACGTGGAGACATTTCCTTTGGATGAGACTGTATAAATCGAAGTCCCATGTTGCAGTAAGCGCTGGTACATAAAAAATCCTTCTAAGCTCAATGGTTCTGAGTTCCGTGTCTAGCATAGGTATAAGAGGATTTGCGGATAAGAGATTGGTACCACAAAGCGTAACAGACAGACGGGCAGACGTAACGATTACTACATGTATATACACTCCCGCTTTACAAGCGGGTGGTATAATAAACGTGAAATATACATCACAGGAATGTGAACATTGTGAACTTTCTCAAACCTGTCGAACCTGGAGACCATAAACTGAGAACAGACTTAAGTCAAAATTTTTATTTTTAAAATTTCTTGAGTTCTGCTTGATGTATTTGATTAAAAATTGGCAATTCTCTATAACACTTCAATTTAAATATTTGGTGTAAATTATGCCTCATTATCAAAATTATTTCAAATGTTACACTGGTTTTAAATTTTGACTTAAGTCTGTTCACAGTTTATGGTGGACAACAGACAAGAGAATTTTTAAAAAGCTAATTGTAGGTAGAATGTGGATCTTTCTTCCTATATGTTTTTTTCTAATAATCATTAATTATTTATATCTAGAAATTTAGCATTAGGGTTAGGGTTAGCACTAGGGCTAGGGTTAGATGTTAAGCTAGGGTTAGGGTTAGGGTTAGGGCTAGGGCTAGGGTTAGGGCTAGGTTTAGGGTTAGGGTTAGCATTAAGGTTACGGTAAGAATACGAATAAGGGTTAGGGCTGGGGCTAGGGTTAGGGTTAGGGTAAGCATTAGGGCTAGGGTTAGGGTTAGCACTAGGGCTAGGGTTAGATGTTAAGCTAGGGTTAGGGTTAGGGTTAGGGCTAGGGTTAGGGTTAGCATTAGGGTTAGGGTTAGCACTAGGGCTAGGGTTAGATGTTAATCAAAGTATATTAGGTCTAATAAAGGCAATACACAGTATTTATTTGACAATAATTGATCATAAAGAAATCCAATCTGTTTCAGACGTTTTTCGTTAATTATTTTTATGAGAGTGCTATCATATAATGCATGTTTTATTACCCCCCCCCCTCCTATCACAGGAAAATATCTTCAAAAGGTGAATGATTCGTAACAATGCATGCTTTAATATAAATTTGATGAAGTTAAACCATGTAATCATTAATTTTATTTACAACATTTAAAGACAAGAATAGTGTTTATTTTGAAAAAAAAATACTTTCATTTTTTTCAATCAACCCCACTGAATTTTCAACCTTTGATATTTTCCCTGACCAAATAAAATGATTGGCATGGGCTATGTGTGTCCAAGCATCTTTTACTGTTGAGTTAGCAATGGATTACATTACTTCTGAGATGCATTTTTCAATAAAAGTAAAATAGGATAATTCTTTCGAAATGTGCACATCCCTGTAACGATAGCAGTATTCAGGTAAACGTTTTTATCACTGCGTTTGACGCGTTTTCTCGACCTACATGGATTTTTGCTGTACATGAATGTATTCCGTGTTAGTGTTATCTATATTGCAGCAAATGCATTCAAAAATAATTTAATTCTCGGTATAGTTCTATTTTGTTGTTGAATTTATACTTTTCAAACATGTATTTGGTCAGTTTATGGTCTTCTAAAGGCCGGTACACACGGTAAGGCTTGCCTTATAAGTCATGGAACTTAAGTTCTAGCCTTACCGTGTGTACACCCATATACACGTTTTTTCGAGCCTTATAAGTTTGACTTAGGAATAGAACACTGCTCTATTTCTTAATACAAGACTTAGCTGACTTTTATTTCTTAACCAATGAAAACCTTCCACTTAAAGTTCAGTCTATTTTTATAAAACCATACACGTTGGTTTATGTTCTTATTCGTTTCATTCAAACGAACATAAAACATTTATGAAATAAACACAAACTCGTGAAATAGGATATGAAGCGCTCTGAAAGTGCAGTTTAATTATTACACACAATACATATTATATCTCTTTTTCTATTGTCCTCATCAATGTCCGAATTCTACAAAATAGAAAATAAATATTTTCAACAAAGTATAAATCTAGTATAATATTCCAAACTAAGCAATGGGCGGGTGGGTGGGACTTATAAGACTGCACGAAATAGGGCCTTCGAATGGCTTTACCTATACAGAATTTCTTTCACGGTCACTAATAGCCCGTGCTATGAATATTTATGTCACCTGACTAGGTGACCATTCTAACAGCCAATAGATGACAAGAATAAACAAACACAAACACGTGTTTGCGTAACATTAATAAATACGTTTATGTTCTTATTCGTTTCACTCAAACGAACATAAAATATTTATGAAATAAACAGAAACTCGTGAAATAGGATATGAAGCGCTCTGAAAGTGCAGTTTAATTATTTCGACGATTAAGAAGATTAGAACTGACACGAATATCCTAAATGCCCAAATTTTTAGTAACTGAAAGTTTTTCATTTTGATTTTCTTTAACATAACCATCTTTAGAATTGTCTGACCTCCACCGCCCATGCTTTTTAAACAGTCTGTCGCTAACTCCTGCTGCGGCTGCGGAGGTAGCGCCACCTGATCGTAGACTATGGACACAAATTTACACTTGTCTAAACCAATCTTTTCAAGTGAATCCAATATGATTTCTCTTGCTCTTGTATAAAAAATTGGACGATTATCCGATCTCAGTTTATAAGTTTGGGATTTTTTACAAAATGACAGAGATCTAAACAAGAACAGAGGAGAATGCATGTCAGCGTTTGACAATTTTAAGAACTTTTCCAACATATTTACAGGACAGGTATCACAAAATGTTCTAGCAATACAAACTTTATGACCAGTTTTATAAACATCTGTTTTACTTTTAACAATGTTAATTTCTACACAATTAGTCTGTATACAGATATCTGAGTAACGAATATTAACTATTTCTGAAAATCTCAAAAATCCTGCAAAAGCTAATAAGCACATACACAATGTTCTTAAATTATATAAATTTCCATCCTCTCCAAATGTAGAAACCAGAGTTTTCAAATGTTCAGGCGTTATATGTTCTTTTTTAATCACTGGTTTCGATGTCTCTCTAACTGCCCCTTCCTTAACAGTTTTTACCAAAGCTGAGTCACAAGGATCTATATAACCTGCTAGGCTATGTGCCCAACTGATGGCATGTATAGCTGAATGAATTGTGCCAGACGATTTACATTGTTTTGCTAAATGGATAATATATAGTGCAACGTTGATTTCCGAAGCAGGAAGTGATTGAATCCCAGGGTTAAAGCTGCTACACCACTTACAAAAGGTATTAAAAGCGTACCTGTACTGTTTTGCTGAATGCAAAGGCCTTAGATGTTACACAATATCTGGGTAGTTCAGACTCAAGTTCCGCTAGACGATGATCCTGTAATCCACAATTAGTTCCCGTCCATCTGCCCACTTTAAATATATCTGAAAAATGTGTTTATTAAAGCAAAAAATTAGCATCTTCTAACTTTAACATATTATATGTTGTATCAGGACCTTCATCATCTGCAATACACCCTCTCTGATGTACCAGAACCACTTGTCATCTGCAATACATCATCTACACATTTGCCCAGCTCGGCAAAAATCTTTGTTTAAAGTGTACCAGGGCCTAAACCATCTGCAATACACCATCATAAACTACAAATTTGTAGCCTCTAAACATACCACAAGTATTCCAGAGCCAAAATATATAGAACCAAAGATACAGTTCTTGTTATGACCTTGACTGATTATCTCACTCCTATCTTTAAACAATAACACATCTTTAACATACGCCTTATAAGATAGTTCTGAATCGAATAACATTGGCCAAAAAACAGCTGAGGGCTAGTTAGGTACAATCAAAATACCATAGGCTTTGCAATCTAATAAATGTTTTATAGTAGAAACTATCAAATGAATGGGAGGAACTAGCCAATTGTTTTCGCCCACCCAATTCTGTGTAAAACAATCTACAGCCTCTGATTCAGGATTCCAAAATTTTGAGTTATATCTAGTAAGTTTACGATTGTTAAAGTTTGCGAATCTATCTGCAGAGAAAGGACCAAACATAGAACTAATAAATTCAAAAAATTCATTTGTAACTTCCCAATCATCGTGATCAATAATTTTACTGAAAAAATCTGCCTTTTCATTTTCTGATCACGGAACCCATTGAACATCAAGGGAAATTTTATTTTCGGCACACATTTTGAAAATACTATATGCTAAAACTTGTAAGTGATGCTTCATGCTACCAGAGTGTACTATTTTCGCACAACTTTGATTATCAGTAAACCACTTTACTGTCATATTTTGTAGTTCTTTCTTAAAAGAAGCCAACGCCAATTCTATGGTCTTCAACTCTCTCCATGTAGAACTCATACTTTTCTCATGTTCTTTCCACATCAAATGGAACACCTTAGAATTAACTTCAACTGTATATGCACTTGATGCTGAATTACTTGCATCTGAATAAATGATTACGTTTTTTCTTTTAACAGAATGTAAAAATCTTGTACTGTCACAACGCATACATTCTACCCAAAATTTTAGTTCTTCAAACACTTGATCTTTATGCTTGAAAAATAGTTTAGAATCCCATGATTCTTTCAAAGCAATTTCCATAGAAGAAAACCTTGTCATAATATTGCAAATGTTACCCATTACTGGAGTCATAGAAATGATCTTCCCCACTACTCTTGCAAGTTCCCTCGCTGTTACATCGGGAAAATGAGTGATAGTTTTCTGTAGACAACAGATAGCATCATCGATTCGTCTATCCGGAACTGAAATAGAGAATAGATTTGAATTCCATGTTAAACCTAACCATTCAATGACTTGTATTGGTATAAAATGTGATTTTTCAACATTGACCACCAGACCAACTTCTGACAACGTTTTCTGAATGAATTGAGAATCTAAAAGACATTGGTCCTCAGTAGAAGCGAACGCCAAACCATCATCTAAATATAATACAATCAAAATGCCATTTTTTCTCAAGTATTTCACGATGGGTCTTAAGCATTTAGTAAAAATGAATGGTGCTGATGATAGACCAAAAGGGAGAACCGTATAGCAGTAATACTTGTTTTCCCACTGGAATCCTAAATAAGTCTGATAATTCTCAGCTATATCTATGTGATGATACCCTGATTTCAGATCGAATTTAATACAGTAAAAACCCTTTTCAAAATAATCTAATGCCGTCTTCCAGTCTTCAAATTTTATTTTATCATACTTGACATATTTATTTAGCCTACTGAGATCAAGGATCAACCTCTTTTTGTTTTTGTTTTCGGCGACACTCAGTGGACTGCACACAAATGGCTGAAAAGGAACTTCTAAAATACGTTAGTTTTCCATCAAATCTGAAATCTTTGAAGTAACAAATTCAAAATTGTTTATAGCAGACTTGTTATTTTGAAAACACATAGAAGGAGGATGTGAAACGAAAGGAATTTCATATCCAGATTCAATAACTTTCAAAATAAAAGGATTTGTGCCAATTTCTCTCCATTTACTAACATTTCTTTTCAAATTGTGCTTTATCAATGACATTTGTTTTGAATTATTTTTCTGAAGCATTTCACCTGGCCAGTAAGAGTAGAATAGCTTGTATAACCTGTGTACTTATCATTGACTTTGTGACTTGTTTTGGGGGCAGTTGGTTTTCCAGTGTCCAGTGGAAAAACAGTTGAAGCATACGTCACTGGGCTGTGGTTGACGCCTTGTGAGTTTGCCACGAAAGGGCTGCTGCTGATATGTATATGGCTGAGATGTAGCAGTAGAGGAAGAACCAGAAGTAAGCTGGGCTGCTGAGCCTGCCGCTGCTGTCGATGTAGAAGCTCTGTAGGAGCCATACGGGTGGAAACGCTTGTTCTGGGCTTGTCTTTGCTGCCTAAGGGCTCGGTTTTCAGTGCTTCTAATTTTCTTCTCATCGTCAGAGTTGTCGGCAATTTCTCTGGACTGATACTCATTTACTGTCTTCCACCCTGCAGGAGATGAATCGGCAATACGAATGTATTTCTGGCGCGTTTTCAGCTTTTTCTGCAATTCGCCTATTATTGACACTGATTCACTGTCTTTATTTTCGAAAGCTCTTATCCCTAGTTTTTCTAGACCCTCAAGAATTTCAGCATTAAAACCGTACTGAGCGCGATTCCCTTCAGATTTAATCTTAAGAGAAGAGTTTTCTTAAAGTTTCTTAGCAATAGACTCCGACTGTTCTACTTTAAGCTGACCTGAAAGGTTTTGAAATTGTGACTGCAAAACCCCTGTAACAAGCTTCACCACGTCCGAAATATCAAACGGAGGATTACTGCCCGTAGTTTCCTTTGTTACTTTCTTATTATCATTAGTCTCTAGCAAAATTTCGTTTCCAAAATCGCCCATAATCGACTGAATATAATGAATGAAGAAAAACGTGTAGACTGCACGAAATAGGGCCTTCGAATGGCTTTACCTATACAGAATTTCTTTCATGGTCACTAATAGCCCGTGCTATGAATATTTATGTCACCTGACTAGGTGAGCATCCTAACAACCAATAGATGACGAGAATAAACAAACACAAACACGTGTTTGCGTAACATTAATAAATACGTATATTGAAAGGAACATAAACAGGTCGAGACCACTACCTTATATGGAAGGCAATTTTCAATACGTGACGATGTCTTCGTCACGCCCATTCTCCAATCAATTGAAAGAGTCCCAAAGCATAACAGTCTACCACGTGTTTACGATTCAATGGCTACACGTGGTTTTCGTCGGTTTACTGGACAAAATTTAACTCGTCACCGGAAATACTGTAGAGCTTCTTTATAACTTTATTAGACCGAAATTGAAAGATTATATTCTAAAGTGATGCTCCATGCTCACATTTAATATTGGAGTTGTTTTAGATGATTAACAGTTGCTTCGAATACCGTACAAACGCTTTGACTTTTGCTTATGCATAAAACACTTTCTGATAATATTGAGGCTATAAATAATAATTGCACACTTTCTCCTGCTGTCTAAAAACAAGGACCTATATACTACCTGGGAAAGCTATACGTACACGTGTATCACGTGAAAAAAAACTCAATGTTTTATCGACACGAAAGCACGTATACGTCTCTTTGAACAATGGTATATTAGGCCGATGTATTATAAGTTGATATAAGGCTTCATAAAGCAAATTTTGTAAATGTGAGCATAAAAATCAAAGATTATACATCATTTTAAATATTTCTCTCACAAATTTAAAAAAAGAATTGAAAATAAGTTTCCAAGGGACAATTTAAGTTGCCTTTAATTTTCAACATAGCTAGGTACTTGTAGTAGCCCACAATGCATTTCGGCTCATTCAGCAATAGGTAAAGTAAACATATTTATTCTGACGTCAGAAAATCTAGTGGTCTCGACCTGAAAAAGTATAGTCGAATAAGACATGTAAGATAATGTTTACCTCCTCCTCTTTGTTAAGAAGTGTGAATGGTCAGTAAAATTACTTCAAAGTCCTATAGCTAGTAATCTATTATTCTGTTAAATATTGTGCAATGTTTATGGCTCAAAACACATGGAATTTATGTAAATGTTGTTTATAATATTGTAAGTCTTGCCTTGGCGTGTACGCCCTGCAAAATGTAAGATTTAAGACTTATAAGGCAAGCCTTACCGTATGTACCGGTGTAAAGACGAATAATGACCCCCATCGAATAATGACCGGGGGTCATTTTTCGACAGCGATAAATAACCCCCGGTCATTATTCGAGGTAGAAAAATGACCCTTTTGCCCGTAGAAAAAGTATTATCATCCTAAAAATTTGCAGAACCCACGTGAAGAAAAATGACCCTCGTAGAAAAATGACTCTCTGTTGATTAAAACTGAAATTTTTAGGGGGCAAAAAAAAATTAGATAAAGAAGCATAATGGCCAAAATGCTTACCTGAGCTTATCTGGAATAAATTGATGATATGTTGATCTCATAACATACGATTATAGCTATATTTTAAGGTCAATGCGATGATTCAGAATCTAAAGGAGTAAAGATTTATCGAGCCTAAAGGGTTAGGTAAACATTGTTTTTCGATGGTGGGAATCATTGTACTGATAGAAAAAATTATCAGTATCATATTTTATTCTCCGCTTGAAAAGCGGGAGGGTATATAGTGATTGGGATGTCCGTCCATCTGTTACGCTTTGGGATATCCATCCGTTATCTGCAACCCCTCTTATATATAAAAATATGTATTTGTAAAACAGCCATGCCCCTGTATGGCAACATAGCGAAGATTAAACTTTTCTTAAAGGCAATTTAAATATAATGGTACCCAAAGTAGGGTCTTCTCACAAGAAATAAAATTGCAAAATAGGAAAGCCCTAGCACCAATTGTTCAAATTCATGGCTAAGGATAAGTGTTTGAAAGGTAGGTCAAACTCAACGGTCAAAGGGTCAAAGTTGATGATTTCTTAAGAAAGGTTTAATGTAACAAGGATTACATTTGTAAGTATGAGAGTACTAGTTCTACCGTTTAAAAGTTATAGCCAAAGTAAATTAATTAAAAATTTGGCACTTTTGTGTAAAATGGGACAAACTCCAAGGTAAAGTCAAAAGGTCAAATTTGGTGGCACCCTAAGTAAGGTCTCGTCACAAGGAATGTACACAAATTGAATATGAAAGACATAGCTACAATAAAAGAAAAGAAGACCGCCAGATAGACAGACAGACATACAGACGGACACGATAAAACTATATACCCCCGAATCTTCGATTACAGGGACATAAAAAGAAATGGTCTTCAATTAACTTTTCATATAATGATACAGTTAAAAAAATGTAAATGTTTGTTCTGATTCTCATAATTATTAAATTATCTGAAAAATATACTCAGGACTGGGGAAAATCGTGGAGTAAAACAAGAATTAAGAAATGTAATGAATACTGTGTGCTAAATTAAAAGGTTATGTCTACATGTATAGTTTTTGCATTAGAATGTGTATTTTACACTAGTCCGCTTTACAGAGCATATTTTTAGGTGTTATACCCACCCCTTACTTATTTAGGAGGAAGTTGATTATCAACAAAAGCAACAACAAGAACAAAAAAAAAACTACCCTACCTTTATTTTTCTATAAGGAGGCACTAAACATAAGCTTAAAATAATCCACTATTCTACTAATTTTCAACTGTTACTCTGACACAATACTTTCAAGTATTTAAAGTATGCTTTAATCATGGCGAAGTAAATTATGATATGATTGAACTTGTGTGAAGGCTTAGCTTCATTTCTGCATTTTATCTAGAGCCTCTTTCAGTATTATTGAAAGGTATAGAGTTTTATTAATATTTTTGCTTTTCATTTTTTGTTTGTTTTGATTAAACGTTATTTTTTTTTGGGGGGGGGGTTAAAAATTTCCTCCTCTTTCATTGTCAAATAGGATTTGCCAAACTTATACAAGCTATAAAGTTGAAATGAAGAAAAAATAATTTTTTCTATTAAAGAGTATTGGAATCTGATTGTTGCATGGTTTGATTTCTAAAAACAAGTGGAATATCATTCTTTAAGCAAACACTATAAGGAGGAATATTAAAGAGAAATTTTATTTAATTGACAATTTAAGAATCTCTTTTTACTTTAAAGGGTGTTATTTTTCAATTGGGGTCAATTTTTTATAGGACTAACATATAAAATAATGATCCCTTGGACACTTTTTCTACAAAAAATGATTTTTTTTCTACGGGTAGGGGGTCATTTTTTGTCGTTGAAAAATGACCCCCAGTCATTTTTCGATGGGAGTCATTATTCGTCTTTACACCGGCCTGTAAACTATGCTATTGGAGAAGTGTGCATGTCGACAGGCAGGCTAGAAAATCACTCAAGTGAAACAATTGTACAAGGGTATATATAGCAGGTACAGGTGACCAAAAATTTTCGATTAAATATGGCGGAATCGAAGAAATATGGCGGACAAAGGCGAGCAGGAATGTAGTAAGTCGTACAAAGATGAAAAATGATGCCTTTTTGAGAGTTCATGTCAGCTTTAAATACCCTCGTTATGACTTAATGTTTACGGCGGGTATTTCCTGATTGATACAGCAAAACACTCATCATTTTGCACGAAAAAGGTTGGAACAACAAAAAGCATAATGGTTAAAGCAGTATATTTTGAAAGATATAATGTAGAAATCGTGCGAAAATATTTTTCATGAAATTCAACTGCGTTCAATAATCACACTGTTGGTGCTATATCCAAGACATTTTATTGTTTCAAATCAAATCTTGGCTACTAACTAAGAAACCAAAATTGCCATAACTACAGTATTTAAAAAATATATTATTTAAACAATTCAGTAACTTTATTTTCCAAGACAAAACTAAAAAAGCATATTAAGTTTTTAGTCACAGCATATCAAGGAAAAACACATTTAATGCTGCATTTCTAATATATAGATCAGTTATTACTCAATAAATTTCTTGACATTCTCTCTCTCTATCTCCCCCCCCCTCTCTCTCTCTTTCAAAATATATATAATTTCATTGCACTCCCATTACATATGGGAAAAATATGCAAAAATGATGCATACCATGTTTCGAACCCATTCTCTGGTAAAAGTTCTAGTTGGAAGCCCACCAGCATATCCACTAGACCATTTCGGACACACTGGTATTGAGTGTTATTTAAAGTACACATTTTGTATTTCGTTTGGAGATTAATTTTTATTCAATTTTTACGTTTTTCAAAAATGTGCCTCTTTGAAACAAAAATTGGAAATGACAGTTTTGAAGGAAATTCTTGCCTCTTTGTTTATATATCAAAATTATTTTGTTTCAAGGAGGCACTTTTTCAGAACAATGGGGATTCCCTATTTAAAAAACGGAAAATCTGATATAATTTGTCATTAAACTAATTTTCACATCATTTATTGGCAAATTGGAAGTCAATACACACCATCCAAATATTGTTTCTCGTTGTGCTTTATACATTGTTG